GAGCTTGGAGCGGTGACTACTCTACAACACACACAGTGACCATGGGGAACAGACGTAGCCCCCCCTCCAGAAGGAAGGACAGTGTCAGAGATGATTGGAGGATCTACAGCCGAGTGATACACAAATAAGATACATTGTTGTTCAGAGTTAAGATACTTGAATGAATTTTTAAGATTTCACTCGGAGTTTTGTGTCACTTTAATAACGAATTTCCTGCTCAGAATATACAAGATACTTTATTCTCTGTTTTTGTTACTTTGATATTTTTTTTTTTAGGAACAGGATGCTGAGAGATAGTCATGCCGCCATTGCTAAACCCTCCTAAAGATTCTAGTTGTAGGCTAAAGAAGATGTAAACCTGGAATGAATGACACTTAGTGAGCTCTGCGTATTGTAAAAAAAATATATTTTTCTAGGTGAAATATTGTTTTTTTTTCATCCTTTGTTACAACTCAGCGCTGCTGATGGTGGATTGCCAGCTAAGAGAACCGTCTTCCCTGACACAGCTCCTCTGCTGCCTTCACATCGCCAAATACACTGTAAACCTGTACAGAATAGGTTCCGGGGTTCAGGGATTTTGGGGTTCAGGGAATAGCTGATACATGAAGTGAATAATCTGCAACAATGTTTCATCAGAGTATATAAAAGTGTGATCAGTGGAAAGGGGTTGTTTCTTATGTATGTTGAATATACAGGTGAAACTCGAATAATTAGAATATCGTGCAAAGTTCATTTATTTCACTAATGCAACTTATGCGGTGAAACTAATATATGAGAGAGACTCATTACATGCAAAGCAAGATAGTTCAAGCCGTGATTTGTCATCATTGTGATGATTATGGCTTACAGCTCATGAAAACCCCAAGAACCCCAAATCCACAACCTCAGAAAAGTAGATTATTACATGCAATCAATAAAACAAGGATTGTACATAGAACAATATCGGACCTCTGAGAAGTACAAGCATGCATATGTACTCAGTACTTGGTTTGGGCCCCTTTTGCAGCACTTACTGCAATTACTTTTGCACGATATTCTAATTATTCGAGTAATCCCTATCTGGGTGAGGCTTAGCGCTGCTCCGAGTGTATCGTAAACAATTACCATCTAAAACAAAGAAAACATGTTTTTACCTTTTTTTTATTTTTTATCCTTCGTTCTATCTCAATCTTGCTGATCTTATCTTTGCAGCCACTTCCTTATATGATCCGTATCTCAATGGCAGTTCGTTTGCTCTGTGCACTGTGTATCATTAACAATAGTCAGAAATATTTGCTTTTGCATGTGTGTAATCCTTTATTCCATCTCACTGTCACTGATCTCCTGCAAACACTTTGCATCCAATTCCTGTCTGCGTGTACTCCGGTGATAGCTGCGCGGCATTTCTCAGGGCGGGTTTCCTGATGGTGACCACAGTGGACCATACCTATGTAATGTGTGTTAAAATGTCCACTTGTAGTCTCCACGGAAAGCCATGTGATAGGGTGACAACGCAGGAGCACAATTGTGAGTCAGGAACAGAGCGTTGTCACCTTATAACAGGAAGTAGTTGAACAAGGACCTCCATGGCAGGATCACAAGGGATTATTTTAACAAAAGCTGGAGATTTATGGTGCACATTACAGGGGGAGGGAGGTTGGGGGTCAGCTCCTGGCAACCAGTGATGTCACTGAGCTGGGCAAGATGTCGGCCAGAGCGTCACAGGTTGCTAAGAGCTCTTAGCAACCTGAGACGCTCCAGCTGGATAGGGGGCAGCAGCCGCCACCTACTGCCCCAGCCCTGTGACCCAGTAAGAAGCCGTCTGAGGCTGCCTTATTATAGGGAAGGTCCTGGCAAGGCTGAACTGCTTGTCTTAGTCTAGAGACCAGAATAAAGATTGACTGGCCTGATCCTCGGTCCTACGGTGGTTGGCGCTCATCTCTCTTCCCCTCCACTCCAGCTGTGGTATGTCCCTCGGTATCTTCACGTTTAATGCCGGTGAATTCGGTCTATATCTTCTTCAATCCAACCGCTGGACCAAAACTAGCATTTAACCCTTGCAGTGCAGAGGTAGCCATACTGGAAGGGTTAATTTTGTGGAGTTCCTCTTTAAGTTCTGTTATCTGCTGACATTTTACACTGAAGGTTCACTCTCCAGCTTTCCCCGACACGGGTGAATGTGGTGAATGTGATGTGATGACTCGCAGAGATGTTTGTTTTTTTCACGGCTGTTGGAAATAGAAATGTTTGAATATAAACTTTTCCTTTAAACCAAAACACCCCCCAGGCACCTCGCGATCACCGCCCTGACCGCAGCTGGCCCCCCGCCCGTGTGTGCAGACACTTTACAATGCGGAAGAGTTTGTCTGTTGTCTTCACTTTTCTGTTGACATTTAATTGCTGATATCACCTGACCTGATCTTATCTCTCCGAGAGGACACGCCGAAGAGAACCTGTCAGATCTTCTACATGAACGCTGCTGTTTTCACTGATTATACGATGAAAAGTAAATGTACAAAAAATACATAGACATTACGAGACACGTATATCTGTGCGAATGGTATTACCGGGCAAATATTTTGTTATTTTATTTAAAGCTGAACTCCGTGATCGGCAGACATTGTCCTCATACAAGTCGTGCATTTTTCCTGAATCTTGGGGAGCTTTGTGCATTTCTTCCAGATCTGTAATCCAGTGTGAGACTTGGAGCTTCCTGTAATAAAGACCGGTCACTGCCGCTCTCTCTCCTTGTGCAGGGTGACTGGTCTTGTCTCCGCCCCCTCCTGTAATAAAGACCGCTCACTGCCGATCTCTCTCCTTGTGCAGGGTGACTGGTCTTGTCTCCGCCCCCTCCTGTAATAAAGACCGCTCGCTGCTGATCTCTCTTCTTGTGCAGGGTGACTGGTCTTGTCTCCGCCCCCTCCTGTAATAAAGACCGCTCGCTGCTCTCTCTCCTTGTGCAGGGTGACTGGTCTTGTCTCTCTCAAGCACCTGAATCTTCCCCACTGCATGCAGAATGTCACTCACCACCACCTGGACAGGAAGGATTTGATGCCCAATGGAGACCTGACACCGTGCATTCCACGTGAAATAACGGACCACTAGGCTGACTATAAAAAGTGTATCCAAACAAAAAAAAAACCTCCAGCATTGAATGCTCCGTACACCCACTCGGCATAACTCAGCCTAGAGAGGAAAGGAACACCGAGGCCCCGCCCCACCTCTTTATATACCTCTATGTTAAAGGGGCAATGAAGCAGAAAATGGTCCATGGTCTCCACCGTACGCGCACACTCCTCTCGAGGACAACCACGTTCCATCTCACTGCGGTGTTTCAAATTGCCCCCAACATAGAGCATCCCATGGAAGCACATCCAGGCTAGATCCCTGAATTTAAGCGGCACCCTGTCCATATTAATCAGTCTTAACCCTTCCCTCAAAATCGGGCACTCGGTCATGGACCAAGAGCTTAACAGTTGCAGCAGAGAGGAGAGGATCTGGCGACATACTTTATCCTGCCGGGTCAACATCCCCTGATCTCTCTGCTGGTGTCCGTCACTAAGATGGCCGCCGGCAGGTATCACCAAGATGTCCGCGCATGCGCGATGATGTCATGGCGGGTGTCACCCGGTACCCGTTCCAGGTGACACCTGGCCTCAAGGCGCCCCTGATAGACCCCAAAGCGCTTACTTGCATCGGGTGCATTCAGTTTAGCTGTGTTTAGAAAAAAAATAGAGATTTGTGTGTCCGGGGGCAGATGAGATACTCTGTAAAACATGCGTCTAAACACACTTAAACGCAGGAGAAATTGATCTGGGCAGGAAGTAAGAATCAATTTCTCCTTCTTTTAAATAAAATAAATGCCGGGTGTCGGTGTGAACGAGGGATTACAGGGAGCTGCGGCTTTGATTCGTTCATAGATCTGACAGGTTCTCTTTAAACTTCAGCATGACACTATGCCCTTCTGACAAATCAGGTTGTTAACATTTCGGATTCCAAAGGAAATTTCGCATTCTTGGTTTTTGCTGTTTCTTGAGTTTAAAAAAAAAAAAAAAATAATTTGCTAATGACAGTTTTTGAGCCACGGGGGTAAAATAATCTGCGCGCTGACGAAAATTATAGTTATCGTTCCGAGCGCAGCTGCCGAGCACAAAAGCCGAAACTTAGTCATGTCTAGAATGAGAGACGGATACTCTGTAATCACTCGGCGTAATTACACTTTTTTAATATCATTTGCTTAACCAGAAAAGCGTGAAAAACACGATGATGAGTTTGTTTTTCTGCCTTTTTGTTACTTTGAATCATTTTGTTTGCGCACATCGATACAAAACGAATGTTTGTTTGTTTTTCTTTCATTGTATCTGATTGTTTTTTCTTTTATTTAGAATTGTTTCAGGACCTGCTCAGCAAAACTCAGGCACCCGGCGGAAAATGTGCGACCGCCAAAAATATTGTTGGTAAACCGTCGCCGGCGCTAACCAAGTAATGTGATTGGTCGAGGGAAAGACTGTTGAGATAACTGTGTTGCTGTTTTATAATGCAAGCTGGGCCGGCGGTGAACAACAACACTACGTGCTTCGTGAATCATGATATCGACGAGGTTTTGTTCCCAACCATTTATATCATCGTGATTGTGGTCAGCGTCCCCGCCAATCTGATCTCGCTGTACGTCTCTTACTTACAAGTGACGAAGAAGAATGAATTGGGGATTTACTTGTTCAATCTGTCCTTCGCTGACCTCCTCTACGCCCTGACTTTACCCTTGTGGGTCGATTTCAGCCTCCACCACGACAATTGGAGGTTTTCCGAATGGCTCTGCAGGTTGAGTTCCTTCTTGATGCACACCAATCTGTACAGCAGCGCCGGCTTCCTGACCTGCGTCTCCCTGGACCGCTACCTAGCCGTGGTCTATCCCTTGAAGTACCGCCATCTTCGGACCAGGAAAGTGGCGGCGCTGGTCAGCCTGACGGTGTGGACCATACAGTGCGCTTCGAACATCGTCATCGTCCTCAAAAAGGAGACTTACAATGACACGGGGGACCTCGTGTGCTACGACGTTTTCCCCATGGAGAGATGGAAAGCCGCTTTCAGTATTTTCAACGTCTGCGTCGGCCATTTTTTGCCGCTGCTGATCATGGTGGTCTGCTACTATAGGATTTACGTGGCGGTGAGCCTGAACCAAGCCACGGCGGACAAGGACAAGCGCAAAATTAGGCAGTTGCTCCTCGCTATAATGGTGACGTTTGTGCTGAGTTTCACACCTTACCACGTCGTCTTGTTCCTCCGGAGCATCTACGAGCCTGGCAGCTGCCACTTTGCAAAAAAGATATTTCAGCCGTACAAACTAACCTTGGCGCTATCGAGCGTCAACTGTCTCGCCGACCCCTTGCTGTACTGCTTCGTCAGTGAGATCGGGAGAGCCGATGCCAAGGCCATACTGTACTGCTTCCAACCTCAGGGGGAATCGCCGGCTAGTACCGAATACAAAATGTCATCAATGTCACCAAGTCATGCCAAAGTTAAAAGTATACATGGCTTGGGCACTGTCTAATATATAAATAAATATATCATTTTTATATTTTTTGGGGGGAAGCTGTGATATTTCCTGTGACTAAATTTATATGTTCATCATCATTTAAAAAAAAAAAATTAAATTAAAATAATGTCTTTTTAGACTTTGTATCATTTTATTGGATTGTTTTAGTTTATCTCTCGATAAATCCTTTTTTTTTATTTTTCTGTTAGAAGAAAACATAATACAGCCAACGCGATTTGCGGCTCTCCCTTCTTCAGGGTTACAAAGCAGATATAAAAGCAATTGTAATCATGTGTATCCCTACGTCGGTATAATTAAGATCTCTAAATTCATAAATAAATATTTAGATAAAGATTGTGACAAAACACAATGAGGGGAATTTATCAAATCTGGGAATAGATACAAATCCAGACTTGATATTTAAAGGAGAACTATGGGGTTAAGGCTTTTCCCCATAGTTCTCCTCAGGGTCACGGGAGGACACAAACTAGCGTCCTCCCGTCACCCTAGGCTCAGTATATAGGGAGCTGTAGCTCGCGGTATACTGAGACGCCGCAGCTGAAGCGGATCCCGACAATTGTGCCAGGATCCGCCCAGCTGCGTGAGTGACAGCTGGCTCTGCCTATCTAGAGGCAGAGCCAGCTGTACCCGCCCCCTCCCCTGTTCGATCCGCCAGTCAGCGCTGGAGGATCGGAGCAGGGAGGGGGGAATCCAGCCCCTCCCCTGTCATGGCAGAGAGCTGTGACAGGATCGAGAGGTGAGCGAACGCCGGTATGTGTTCGCTCACTTCCCGATCTACTGAGCCGACCTGTGACAGTCTCATTGTCACAGGTCGGCTAGAACTATGAGGTGAGTGAAAAGCCCCTCCCCCCTCATAGTTTTCCTTTAATATAAAATTCCATAACACCTCCATTGAGCTAGTGATCTCCTGTGACATGTCGGCTGTTATGTTTTCTTGTTTTCAATATTAAAGACCTTGGACTCCTAGGGGGTTCATTTATAAAAGCTATACCCGGATGAATGATGCTTGTACAGTACTAGCGCCCCTAAATAGCGCTGACAAGTAGAGGGGTTTCTTATACTCATCAGCGGCATCTAGGGGGGCTAGTGCCACGCTAATGACATCCACCCGTCTATACTCCAGGCGGAACTTTTATATAAGAATCCCCGGGACTTTGTCACTCCATTAGACTTTGTATACACTGATCTTCAGCTCTGGGTCCTTGCCCCAAGGGGTACCCCATTTTTAGTTGGGAGCAGCCTCACCCGATCTCCTGGGCCCTGATCTCAGATTGATATACCTACTGATAAGTTGAATCCAATGCCTCCCTTGTTTATGTTTTTTTTTTAACGATAAAATCTTGACAGAGGATCTAATCCTTCCACACTTCATCTGAAGCTAAAATTAAAAAAAAAGTGCTGGCTCTGCATACACTATAATAAAAATCTCCGGCAGCAGACCATGACTATCGCTGTTGTTTTTTTTGCGCTGTGCTTTTATAATCAATGTTACTTTTCTCAGTAATAACTTCTAGTAATATTGTAAAGGGGAGATATAAGTCAACTGAAAATACTAAGTATACATCAAGTGATCTAGTTATCACTTTTTCCACCTAAAATGTATTCAACTTTCATCCGAGATTTACACATTTTCCACATAAGATTCAAACGGAAAACCTGTGAAGCAGTTATTGAAGCCACCACTAGGGGTCAGGCTTGCACCAGTGACAGACCATTGATAGGACAACGGTGCCCACTATTCAGAAGTATCATTTTTCTGGCATCGAGTTATCTGCATTTAATAATTGGTTGGTTTTGTTCCTCTATCTCGCTCTCTACAAAGTGACAAGGCCGGCTGAGGGGTGATTTATGACCCCGGTTGAGATTCGTGGCCGCTACTTATCGCTGATAAATTAATTCTTGCCTGTGGTCCAACCTTGAGCCGCTTTCCATCGTTGGTATTGATGTGTTAAGGGATTCCAGGAGGCAGATGGGGTGTTCTGAGGAATGGCGGCCCCGGGGTAGGAGGAGGAATGCTTTTAAATTCAAGTAATTGGGCCCCAAAGTGAAATTGTTAAGGGGCCTTTTTAAACTCAATTTTCAAAAATGTTCAGACGCGAAGAGCTTTGCTTAAATAGTCATGAAAACTGCCGCCTGATAAAAGCCTCCTCAGAAGACACAGAAGCCTCAACTAGATATCTTCTGGGGTTTTTTTGGGTTGTTTTTTTAACACATTGACTACATAAACCAGTCTGCAGCCTGAAAGTGGGCTCACTGGGACAGGAAGTGAGGGGAAAGCTACCCAGCGGAGACACAACCAGCAATAAACACCTGGAGGAGACATGATGAAAGATTTGGACCATATTTTGCATTTCTTTGTGTTTGTTGATTTTTTTTTTCTTTGTCGTTTTTCGTCTGATTCCCCTCTGATGGGTTCAAAGTGTGATCCTGATTGGGAGAAAGCCAACTTTATGGGGTCCCAGGTTCATCAGAGGTGTATGTCATTGTACCATGGTTGATTGGTAAGGGCAGATCTAAAGGTTTTGATGAATTGGTGGCATGTGAAGAATCTGTGGAAGATTCGGTCTGTGTTGGATAACCTCAGATAGTTCTGTGTCACTGGGGTGGTGGTGGTGGTGGTGGGGGGGTCTCACTTACACTGATATCTAGTGTCCACCAACACCCAAAATTTTGGATGGAGTTTTCCCTCACAGGCTTACACTGACCAAGGAACTCAAGGAAGGACTAAGATGGTTTTACATTCTCCACAACCATCAGAAGAACAATGCGTTGGGTTTTGTTTAGCTGTAGATGGAGTAGGTGAGGATTAGAACCCCTCTCAGATTCTTATTGGTGTCAGGATCCCCATTGGTAGATATTGGGGATTCCCTGGACCTTTGTCTTGAGAATGGCGGTGCTCGCAGTGATTACATGGATGGCATCATGTGAAACCTCCAAATGTTAGATCTCACCGGCACTCACACATATTTCCTCCTTCAGTTTATTGAACTTCTGTCACATGCATCATACAAGCCAACGTTTGGGGGCCATGTGGGGGGGGGGGGGGAGTCACCCTCTCTAATTGTCCCAGTGATCATTGTACACAGGACTCAAAGTGACGGAAAATCAAAAATGATGACACCAGAATAGGAATTAAAGGAAAATATTCCAATGGCGTTACTTGTTTCGTTGACTAAGATGTGATTTCGCTCATGTTGGATAGAATTCCCCTCATTTCCTGTTGCCTCTACAGGACAGGAAGTGAAGGGAAATCTCTTCAGTGGGACACTGGTAGAAAAAAAACAACCTGACAGTTGTTAACCATTCCCTACTTTCCTCCCCAGCCTGACTGTCGCTGGGCCGCCTGTTTCATTCATTTGATTTCAGTCCTTTGAATCATGGAAGCTCAGCATCACATGAGGTCTTTATCTAGGATAGTCTTCAAATACACCCCCTTCTCAAGACTGACACCTGCTCATCGAGGCTTTTTTGGTATTTGCATAACTCCTCCCAAGATCCAGCCCACTGCTTGCATCAGAACTGAGGGGTCTTGAGAGTAGAACTGAGGCAAGGTGCTGGGATGTTTTCAGGAAGTTGTACCGGTATACATCACCCTGCTGGCCCCTCCCACCAGTCGTGATCGGCCTGCATTGCACAGAGAAGCACAGGGACCCAGGCATGCAATGAAAGCAGAAAGGCTTTATTTAAAATTGTCATAAGTGTGCTGATGAGGGGTGCGGGGTAGAACAGGAAGGCAAAGTATAAGCAGACTAAAATTCAGCTTTAACCAATCCCTAGTCTATGCAAAATGGAACAAAAGAACGTTTTAGCATTAAATATACAAAAGAAAAGTTCTGTGAACAAAATGAAAATGTTCAATTATGTTGCCACAAAGTTTCCTCTCCCGTGGCCTGGAGCACTTCCTGTAATATTGTTCAGCATGATCCCAGTGATCGGCCGCGCCGGCTGCGTTTTCTCAGTTTGATGTCGTATTCCAGAAGGTTCTGAATAGAAATAATACAATCGGAGTGATTTGCCTTAAACCCCAAAAGGCCGAGATGACGTCATTGTGTTCGGTCTCCGCGGAGCTGTCCCCCCGCGTCCACAATGCCCACAATGCGCACAGTTCATCGGAGGAAAAGTTCTTTCAGATACCATGGAATGAGGCCGCAGAAGTCCGGCGGAATGTCACGGCGGCAGAGGTACAATGTACAATTACGCTGAGTGCTGCTTCGTATGAGATCTGAGGATTTGTATACGTTCTGGTGCTGAATGCGAATCGATACCCATCAGTCCGGCCATTTCCCACATCCCGGGGGGCTGATGTACGAGATGAATTCACAGCTGAGGTCATAATAATGGATCTGTGTTCTCTGAAGAATATACGTGCCGTGTGCGAGTAAGAACACTCAGAACCATTCAATATGGAGACCACTCAAAATACACGACACGACTCTGCACCACAGGAGCTTACACTCTATACTGCAGTGCTGCACAAGGGTCACATCGGTCTCTGTACAGAGGAGCTTACACTCCTGTGTCCTGTCCTGTCCCATGTGGTCCTGTCCTGTCCTGTGTGGTCCCGTGTAGGGATGCACCGATGTATCGCCCGCCGAAACATATCGGCCGGAAATGGCACTTTTGGCATGATGCCGAAAGTGCCATGTTTTGGCCGATACATCGGCACATCCGTGCTTTCTCTCCTCCCCAGGTGTGTCCCAGCGGGAAGGAGAGAAAGTGTCACAGGCTTCCGAGCGCTGTTAACGGCCGGTGTCTCTCCTCCCACACCGCTCGGCCGCCTATCACAGTCCGGCAGAGCGGTGTGTGGGCAGAGACAGGCCGTGCTGTCACAGAAGGCTGAGTGCTCCCTGCACCGCTCGCTTAGCCTCCTGTGACAGTGTGTGTCAGAGAGGAGAGCGAGTACAAGCAGTCGGTGATCAGCGATCGCTGAGTGTTTGTACATATTTGAGGACATGGTATGGTTACTATATCCTCAATTATGAATGAATGGGAAG